GGAAGTCCATCCATTAGCACATTCAGGGCTCGAGTCAAGGATGTATAGTCAACAAAGGGCTTCTTGTGAGGGAGGCCCTATACCACAGCATTGCTCCAATATGTGCTGAGCTGAGCTCAATTTGTAGGGAAGATATGCCTCTGTGTGTGTGTGTGTGTGTGTGTGTGTGTGTGTGTGTGTGTGGTGTATTTACAAGGCCAGAGGAACTCAGGCTACTCTGTAAGTTTCTTGGTATAAAGGAGGAAAAAGTATGAGATGACTTTATGTGTATGTGTTGGGGGGAGTCTGTAGAGATTAGAAAATGAAGAGAGCCCGGAATTTTATTTTAATGCGTCTCATATTTCCCTGTAGAGCTTTTTCAGAGAATAGGATCTTCTTTCTCATTTATTTCCCTGCAGCAAAGTTTGGAGATTCACCAAGCTGAGGAGGAAGAGAGGAACATCTTGATCCAGGTTGAAATCTGAAGAAAACTTGAACCCAGATTCCAGAAATTCTAAATTACACAGAGGCAAAGTTTTGGCCAGGTCACCAAGAAGGAAACAGTCCATAATCAGAGAACACACCAGAAACCCCTTTTTTGAGCGAGGACTAAACCCTCAGCCAAGGGTGAGTGCCTATGGCACACGAGGACTGCATTCTCCAGTCGTGGCACACAGGCCAAGCTCTCAGTCGTGCCCGACCACACTTCGGAGGAGAGTAGATCAGGTAGATGTGGGGCACACAGGAGGCCCTAGGAGGAGCGCAAGCAACAAAAACAAGGCGGGTGGAACCAAGAAAGCATTCCTCAGGGATAGCCAATCTCTTTACATGAAAAAGGAAGGCACCCACCTGAGTTAGGAGAGGTCATTAAGTCCCGCCCTGAGTGGTGGCATTTATGTCCTCAGAAGGTCTCCAGTTCTCTGTAGCAGTCTACAGTGTGCGTCAGTATGGTTGAAAAAAGCTTCTTCTATCAAGTTTAACAACTTTGTGGTATAACTTCTGAGAGGGCTGATTGCTTATTCATGCGGAAGCTAGACGCCCAGTTCATTTTGCCTGTTTTTGCCACTCTTTGTTGGGTTTGGGAGTGTTATGGTAGCTGCAAATGGCTTCTCAAGTGACATTTGCTGACATTCAGTGAAGTACATTTATCAGTATTCGCCAGCTCACCTCTACACGTGCAATCCATTTTGTTTTGTGCTTCATAGCAACCTCCTTTCCGACACCCGTGCCCTGAAAATGATAAATGGCAAGGTGGCATATTTCTCAAGCTGCACTCAAATGTCACTGTGGAAAATCTTTAATGGACTAAGTGTAGCTTTTCACGTTACAACTTGTCAGGTACTGAGAAATTCTAGAGTTTCTCCTTAATCCACAAGTCTTTGGAACCACACATCTGCAAGCAGAGACTAATTATAAGCTGTAGTAGTCAGACCTGGGTGAGCAGAAACTTAGGAGAAAACATCTGATATCAACTAATTCTTTATTATTATTCTCATTCCATTTTGCTACTTCCTTTTCTACTCAGAGAATATGCCAGGTATGAGCAATCTGTTACTCTAATTAAGTGGCTCACAGCCCCCCATGCAGGCTTGTAATCCACTCATACACCCAGGCTTCACCAGCTTTGACCATTTCCTCCAAGTCTCAAAATTATCAAGACTCTTCCCCTCAAAAAAACCTGGTTCTGAGTCACAAATCCTAGCCTCTAGAGGTTGGCTTTATTGGAATAGCTGAGAGGTCCCTGAGATGTCTGGCTGAAGGAGTCCTTCTTCCTGTCTGTCATCCACTTATCCAACTTCAGCATGCATGGCTTCCAGCCCTCTGAGACCCTACTAACAAGTAAAGGTCTTTGGTCACAAAAACTCAACAATTCGAAATCTGTAAACATAGCTATCTCATTGTTGCCAAGCCTCCTCACAACCTAGCTTGGGTAAAGAAAGGAAATCAGTTGCATCCCTAGTGGCCAGTCCTGGTAGGGCAGAACAAATGTCAACAGTTGCTAAGTGCTTGTCTGGCAAGGTTGGTAAGTAGAGGGCCCTGGGTTAACTCTCCGGGAAAGGATGCACATCAGACCACCTCAGGCCCTCGTATGTCTGAACCAATTGCCTTTTGCTGCCCAAGACATCACAGAAGAAAAGATGATGTGTTAATTGTCCATGTAATTTGTCAAGGTGGACAATCAAACCAGGTAACAAATAGTAGGGGTAATATGTCACAACCTGGAATCCACTAAAAGCTCAAATAAGATCAGGGGTGACTTTTACCTGGTTGTTCCGTGCACACCTATAAGTTGTTTTGGGCATAAAAAGTAAAAGATAAGAGACAGATACATCTCATTTTCATTACTGGCTGTTCAATCTTTCCATTATACTGAACAACAAAAGAAAATGGAAAAAGCCTTGAGTGGTTCTTTTCAAAATCAGAGATTTCTACTACGTCTTGCCTGATGAGCATATGCTCAAGCCAAGGGTGCAGTCCCAGACGAGAACTCTGAGGTTGAGGTAAAGTCTAGTGTGTGCAGGCATGTGTGTGAGTGTGTGAATGTGTGTACATGTGTGGAGTTTCTGTGGAAAGATGAGTGGAGAGCAGAGGTGAAGGAAGCACTTTTCAGAGACAGGAAACCTTACAGATGCCTGGCATCCCATTTTCTCACCTGACAAATAAAACAGCCTTCATTTTAACCTATAATTACAGCCTGCGTGCAGTAATTAATGCAGGTTGCTTTTTAGACATTCTCCTACATCCTAGATATTCTTGTATTTAACCATTTCAGAGCATGAGTGAGGAAAAGTTCTGCCAAAGCTTTGTGGGTAGAATCTGAGTTGCTGTCTTGTGTTGCCTCCAAGGGCGCTGCCAGGCTTAAGGCACTGCTGCAGGGAGGAGCCCCGAAATACCTTCTCTGGACATTCACACAGCTCCAGGCCTTGTCTCATGCAGGTCGCTGTGCATAAATGTCCCAAACACTTTCCTCTGACCCCTCCTTCATGTAGGCTCCCCAGGCATTGGGTCCCCCAGAAATCCCTCCCTTCCCTCCATCCAACGACATCTCCCTCTATTGAGTGTTTATCTTGCGTTCTGCAGCCTCAAGCTCCTCGTGGCTGGGGCTCTGTCTTGACTGTGATTGGCAGGAACCCTGCCATGTGTCCCGAGGGAAAGAACAGGGAAGGTATGGAGTAATTGCTTGGGAGTGACAGAAACAGGACAGGTGAGCTCCAGTGTGTTCAGCACAGATGACATATAGTTTAGCCTGAATCTATTTTCCCCAACTGCAGGTGTTTCCTGGCCAGGTCCCTGCCTTCTTTGCTCCCCAGGAACATTCATTTCTCCTATGCTGTGCTTCTTCTATCTGTGAACAGCCAAGTCCCAAGACTGACACTGGTCAGGGGGCATCTCGCACACCCTTCAGTGTGGCATTCTTCTCTAGGTTCCTCTTCACTCTGCCATCCCTTTGGTTCATATTTTACTTCTCCTTTCGGCCTCTTATCTGAGGTTTCATCCCAATTTTATTTTTTGTGGCACCAGGGATCGAACTCGGGACGTTGCACTTGCGAGGCAGGCAGCAGAACCACTGAGCCAAATCCCTGGTCTATCCCAATTTTATTGACAGAGCAGACTGCTGTAGCAAGTAAGAGTACTTGCTACACACTGTACTTGATTAGGCAAACTATGGCCTATGGCTCAGATATGTAGAACACTTGGTGCTGTGAGCAAAGTCTGAATAGGCATAGCCTTGCCTGTGCCCTTATATATACTGTGGCTACTTTTGTGCTACCAGGATGGGGCTGAGTGCTTCTAACCATATGGCCTATGAACCCTAACAAGTTTACTGTCGGGCCATTTACAAAAAGAGAGGGCTGTTTATAGACGCACAATTCACAATCGTTAAGTTATGTAAGCAGCCTATATGCCCATAAACAGATGAATGGATAAAGGCAACATGGTATATATACACAGTGGAGGACTACTCAGCCATAAGCAAGAATAAATTTGAGTCATTTGTAAGAAAATGGATGGATCTTGAGACCCAAATGCTAAATGAACTAAATAGATACAGGTTAACTATCACGTGATTTCTTTATGTGAAAAACCCAAAACTTAATAACAAAATAAAAGAGAAATGGTAGGGGTTGGGGAGATAGGAAGAGGAAGGCAGGGGAGGGGGAATAAAAATGATCAAGATGCTATATGTGTATGTTCCAGTTCCCTGAGATGAATATAATTATTAGATATCACCAGCAGATACTCCTAATAAAACCTATTTAAAAGAAGGCTTGTGCTGACCTCAGTTTTAGAAGAGAGCGTGAAGGTGCTGAAGGAATGGTCCAATCAGCATGGGAAGCTGACAGCACTGCAGCTGGAGGGCCAGGGCAGGGATGAGAAGGGAGACAGGAGGCAGGTTCCACAGCCCAGGTAAAGAGTGGGCTTTGGTTTGTTTTGTGGTGAGAGGGATGGACCCTGTCAACACCCACCCAGTGGGTGCCAGCCAACTATGCTAGCTCTGATCCCTGCCCGGCCCCAGAAATGGATCTGACATGAGCGAGGACACTGTGTGCTTTGAGGAGGGGGAAGGCACGCAGGAATGGAAGTGTGGGCCGGACGGGGGTGGGCGGCACGTCAACAGGAGCAGGAAGTACTGCGTGGGTCCTTACTGTTTTCCTGGCTCTCCTGGGTAAGGTTAGGGGTCCTCACCCAAAAAGCTGTAGATCAGTGATGCAAACCTTTTAGAGACTGATTACCAAACTGCAACCCCAAACCCATTTATTTACCGCGAAGTGCCAACACCACAGTCAAACCTGAATGCTGAGGTGTTAGTGTATAAACGAAACAGCTCTACACTAACATCTTTTGCCTTAAAAGAAAAGCACAAGAACACGCATGCCACAGGTTCACCTCCGCTGCTGTAGATTATTCCCATCCATATTCAGTGTGTCTCCACAGAACACACCCAACCCCGCCACACCAGTGCCCTCCCTGAACTTGATGACCCCTTCACTGACCTGCTTCCCTTCACCATACAACAGGTCCAGCTCTTCTCTGCCCAGATGCTCTTCCCTCACATTTCTGCAGTCAGCTCAAGTGGCGTCTTCTTCCAGAACCTTCCCTGAAGAACTGGTCTACCTTGTCCTGAAGTCACTCTGTTACATCACTCTGATGTCTCCGCAGCACTTCTCATCCTCTGAAATGACATTTTCAGGTAACTGTTGACTTGCTTGTTTCCATTTTCTTGGCCTAAAATATAAACCTGTGAGCACAGAGACCTCACGTCTAGAACACTGCCTTGTTCCTGCTAGGTGCCTGATAAATGTTTGTAGAATTAGCCTTTACAATAGAATTCTTTAACTCAAGAACCTTTCAGGGCAAAAACTGTCTGCAGGGATCACAAGAACCTCCTCAGGTCTCCGCAGGAAGCAGCATCCAAGTATCCACCCACAGGGCTCAGTCTGTCGCAGTCAGAGTCTCTGAGGGTGGGTGGGTCTGCTCTCTGCTGAGCAAGCACCCAGGCTGCCCACTGTAGCCAGCAGGTGCCAGTGAGTGGACCGGCATGGCGGAGCCACTGGGCTAAGCACCACTCATTTGTTCCATAGAGAGTCACCCCCGGACTCTGGAAAGGACTCAGAGAACATCCTGGTTTCAAGAAAGAGAAATCCAGTCAATTGAACGTTACGAAAAAAGTGAGACTTTAGGCTAAGGTTACCAGGGAACCAAATGGCCGAAGAGCGGCGCCCTGGGAAGATGACTGTTTTTCTCCGCTCCTTTGTGTACCTGGGGTGGGGTGGGTGCTCAGTTCGAGGTCCGGTGTTTCCCCACTTCAGGATGCCAGCAGAGACCCATTCTCTTCCTTCTAGGACCGTTCCAAACTCCTTGGAGGGAGAGGCTGATTTGGCCTATTGGGTCAGAGCTTGGCACCCACAGGAGGATTGATACTTTCTTTGGAAGGGGACCTGTTTTCAGAGGTGCCTGTGCAAACCCAGAACCTTCTACCCCAAATTAGGCAAGGAGTCTTCACCTCAAATCTACGGAGTGGAAGTGGCAGCTCTTAATTGCTACCATCTGTAAGCAAATGAGTTTATCAGATTCTTTCCCCAGGACAGGTCACAGAGAAGTGAGAAGATAACTATGCAGGCAGGGAGTGCCCAAGGGAGGCCAGGGAGGATTCACCGAGCGAGCGTTAGGGAGGTGGCCAGCTGTGTGGCAAAGAGAGCCAGGACGTGAGCTTAGAGGAACATAAGCTCCTGGGTGTCTGAACGCACATGCTTGGTACCTTTAGTTGCTCAGTTAGCTCCTAGAGGAATTTAACAGGATAGGGATGAGGCAAGAACCGTCTCTGGAAGCCTGTTCCTCATCTCCTGGGAGAGTCTTGTTTGTTTGAAAACTCACAAGCCCTGCTCCTTCTTATTCCCTAGAGGGTCAGCAGGCCAGGCCAGGGGGACCACACAGGCTCCATAGTTTGCAGTTGGAAGCTTGAGGGTCCTCTCTCTCTCTCTCTCTCTCTCTCTCCCTCCCCTCCCCAGTAACTTAACCTGAATGACTACCTTACTCCATCTAGAAACCAGTTCTCCCGTGAATTGGAGCTTAGCTCCTTTCTCACCATTCACCAGCTGAGCTGAGCTTATTGGTTAGGAAATCATTCCATCAGGGGGCCAGTTGGACCCCAGACAGTGGCAGGATCTATGTAAGCAACACAAACAGTTCCTGGTGGGGTTGGGACTGGTCTACCCACTGCACTAGGGAGAATGCACACAGCTTGGGAGCAAGGCCAGGAGTGGGCTGCCATCCTTGGAAGGGCCAGGCCTCAGGATGCACTGTTTTGAGCCCCAGTTGTGTTTCCCTCTCACAAAGCAGGAATCAAGAAGTTGTTCTTTCATTTTCCATTTTCCCCCAGTGAGAGAGGAAGTTCTGGTAGAGTACAATGGAATTATGAGACTTCACATCTAGCTTTGCCTCATTCATTCTATCATTTACTCACTCAGCAGAGATTTACTACTTACTTACAATAAGGCAGGCACTATACCTAACTTGGGGAATGCACAGTGAAGGAAGTGCTAGCTCCTTCTGGTCTCCATTTCCTCAGCTGTAAAATGGGATGCTTGGACTAAATCAATGGATCGCAGTCACCTCGAATGCTCGTTAGAGCAGCTTGTTGGGCCCGACTCCCAGAGCGTGATGCACGAGGACTGAGGACTGGCTTTTCTGACAAGGTCCTAGAGTACACTCAGAGAACTCTGGCCTAGTACCTTCTTGGGCCTTTGTGAACCCTAACAATCCACAATGGAGATTGCTTGCTGATTGCTGGAGGATTGTGGGGAAGCAGAAAGATTGTGGGGAGCTGGCCTGGAAATGGAAAAGTCCTGTGAGTTTCCCAAGCTTAGGGATAAATGGATCAAAGATAAACCCCAACAGAGCCAGTAAAGTATTTGCCTCATTATTTTTAAAAAAAATGATTAAAAAATAATTCTGTAACATGAAAGTTCAATCAGATGCTGAAAAAAATTATTTCAACTTTCCATAGGGGAAAAAAGGGCTCCACTAAAAAGCTATGAGGGTATTGATGTCTATTAAATATTTGCTTTTCTCTCTAGCCCACACTAGACTGAGTAATTTGTATTTGGCAGAAACCAGCTGCAATTACATTAGTCAATCCAAAAGCCCAACTTGCTCGTACAAAATGCAAACAAATTAGTTAAAATGGCCTAATTAGTGGACTGTAAAAATACAAACTGAGGCTGGCAGCCTGATGCATGTTCATCAAGAGCACAGTATCCCTCCACAGGAGGCCTGGAGCTGAGCAGGCGCTCCCATCAGTGAAGAATCGTCCCTCGGGGCCACCCATGACCGGGAGTTCTGCACAGGAAGCCCCGCCTTTCCTGGTCTGGGAGGGCATGGCCCTAGATTTAACCAAGTGTGTGCAATAGAAAGAAAGTAGGTTTAGAACCAGAACTTGAGTTTGAAATGTAGCTGCACTGACTTGCTGACTACCACTTAGTCAAGTTGTTTATCCTTCCTGAGCCTCTTGCTTCTGATTTAAAATGGAAACGATATGTCCTGCTTTGAAAGGAGGCTGTGAGGATTAGCAATTATGTAAGCATATAACTGGTGCATTGTAGTTGTTTGGTTATTAGTTTGGGCCAAGGTTTCCTCTGCCTTAACATATCAGATTGGCCCTAGGAACCAGGGTTCTGACTCTGACTTGGGATTCCAGAGGATACTTTATAGAGAGTGGGAGAATGTGGGGTAGGGGTTCTCACAGAAGGTTGGCTGAGGTTGGTTATTCATGGTGTGACTCACACAACTCAAAGTCTAGTGTGTACCCTTACCAATCCATAGATCCAGGATCGGAGACCTGGGAAGGGGATTCAAACCCTCACTGTACATCAGGACCCCTTGGGAGGCTATCAAATGCTGCAGCCAGGACCCCCACCCCAGATTTTAATCCAACCAGCCTTGAAAAGACTCAGGTAACAATGCAGTTGTCTTCCAGGTGATTCTAAATTAAGCCGAATCATCCCTGCAATACAGACCCTTTATTGTGTAGAGAAAGAAAGAAAGAAAAAAGCGAACACATAATTTTTTTAAAAAATCATGAATAAGCAATAGGGGAAAGGGGATAAGGGAAAAGAAAAAAAATATGAGAAAATGAAAAAATGGAAATAAAGTGTTTGTAAATGGGGAAGGGAGGAGAGGGTGAAGAGAGGGCAGGGACAAGGGGAAAAAATGAGAACCAAGACCTGTCATGTAAAGGTACAAGATTCCAGTAATGAATGTAACTGTACTGTATACCTAAAATGTACCAATAAACTCAATTAAAACTAAAAAAAAAAATGAATAAGCAAATCAGGAACAATGGCAACTCAGAGACTCTAAAAGATGCAAATTATTTCAGACCACCAATAACTACATTTTCCTAAATTTTCTCTCTACCCAAATGGTTGGATCAGACCATTGGCTCTGCCAGGAAGAAGGCTTGTGAGATGCCAGCAGAGAATGGAGGCTTTCTACCAGGCACCCAGAGGAAGCTAACCTTTGGTGACGATCACCATCTCATCTTCATAACCTCTTCCCCACCAAAGCACATTTCCCATCAGTGATACTCATACCATCAGCTAGAATGAGACTAGCGATCCTAGCAATTTGTTTCAATATCATACAGCCAATTAGCATCAAGGCAAATGTGCTCAGGGGATGAATGTTAGACAAGTGAAGAGTTCCTGTCAACTGCAGCTATTGGACTCTGTTAATCCTGTCGTGCTTGCTCTTGCCTACTCATGGATTCCATCCAAGAACAGGTGACAAAGTTGTGTGCACACTCGTTTGAGAGAACCAAGGACATAAATATTCTTCAATGCAGAGGAGAGGTGCTCAGTTTCCTTTCTGTGCAACCCCTACCTCAAAAGGGAAATCCGACCATTGCAGGTTTATTGAGGGCTCCTCTGAATCTTTCTGCTTCCTTCCTCATGTGCTTCTGCTGGCTCTAGCAGAATAAAACCCTTGAGGATACAGGCAGATAAGTGCTCCTCACTTTGATGGAAGGAGCGAGTTGGTCATGTTTCTTCCCCCTGCTCTCCAACCTCAGTCCCTCTGATGGCCATCCTGCCACCCCAGCCCCAGAAGTAAAACCTCAGGAAACATGGAAATGTAGTGTCATCTCTTACTGTATGGTATTCAATGATTTCACTGCTACTTGTGTTTCAACCTCACCACGTGCTCTTAGATATAATTCATTCTCAGCGAGCTGGGTTGTGGCAAGAAATTAGGCTGTAGTTAAGTCCCTGGCTTTGCTTACTTCTCAAGTCAGATGCTTAGTGCATTGGTGTTAGTCTTCATTTCCTCATTTTTAATATGATCATTTAAAGTTAAAAGTTCCCTGCTAAGAACTGCTTTGGCTGCATCTTATACTTTTTGAAATGTAGAACTGTATCTTCTATAATCTTCAGGTTTTCCTCAGTGAGAGTCTGTTAGAGAAATCACTCAGTCTGAAAATGCATTGAAATGTATTTTTCTTCAGCCTTAGGGTTGCTGATCTTGTCCAGCACACTGAGGATACTTTTATCCATGGTTCCTTCTAGGAAGATAGTCACTACTCTCATGATCATTCCTTTGAAAAATAATACTTTTTCTCTCTTTTTTTTTTTAAGATTTTTCATTTGTCTTTTGTATCCTACAATTATAGTGTGGGGTATATGGTTAGTACATGTG